GAGCACAGTGTTTTCACTGTTTCTTTGTGACCAACTGTGCTACTGTTCAAATCGTTTAACTTCGGAAATAGAGCATATCTGACACGTGAGCTAACCTAGCCTCAAGCACGGTGTTTGAATTATTAATATTAATTGAATTGCTAAAATAAATAATGAATTAAATATAAAGTTTAAAATAAATCTAGTGCGAGGTCTATGTTGTTGGACGCTTCCCGATGGTGTGCAGTGATCGTCGTAATGACGTAAATTCGTTTTAGAGTTCAGCGAATGCTGTTTCGACGGAACGTCTACGAGTTACGGGAAAACCGTCACGTATCACCGAAGGTGTTTGTGCGTATGCTCAGCAATCTGCTCTATGAAATGAGGTAAACATGTTTGTTTCAGTTTTATTATATTCCGCATTGGAGGGAGAATAGTAATTATTTTCAGATTTCATTAGCTTAGAATGAAAGATTGATGAATGACTATTCCAAGACCAGATTTTAACACGTATTGCACCGTCCCATTGCCTCTACTTATCTCTGGGAAGAGTCATTTATAAGCAGACCACGGTTCCATGGTATTTCAGTATCTGCAGTGCTAGATGCATTGTACTTCACTTTGTCCGTCATATCGCATCAATATCACGAGTCGTTCGTACGTCTGAGTGTGGCAAATAACGAATGACTCATCCAGAAACAGATTTCACGGCATATTGCACCGCCCCCTCCCCTCATACACTTAATTGTCTATGGAACGAGGATAGAGACATTTAAGCGGATTAAGCATTCCTTAATAACTTGAGATAGCCATAGCTGATAAAAGGATACGGCGCGCTTTTAGAACTGCGGATAAACATATGATATGGAGCTCCGTGACCTGCTTAAACGCATTTCCTAGGCAACTAGAAGCAAAGGGGATGCTGCAGTTTATTCGTGATATATGGTCTTGGAGAAATCGTTCGTTATTTGACAGACTCGGGTACGAGCAAAATTATGATGTTTATACTGAATGAGAGGTTGTACGAGAAACGTGAAATGAGTGTAACTCAGATTTTGGCATCGACCTTACAACTTTATCTTTAGATGCGCTGTCAGGTGCAATGGCTTATTCTCAGGCTGAGGGTGATTTGCTCAAGTGTCCGAGAACGTATGTGACAGACACTGAGTAACATGGCAATAACATAATATGTAAATCAGCGCCCTTTCTGATTTCTGCATCTCGGTGGCATTGACAACTCAATGTTGGCTCGAAGTCTATTTGTTGTGGGTAATCCTTGTCACAGGAGGGGAAGGAAGACTAGTCTGATCAAGGGCAGGCAATGGTAGTTTCCTGACTGTATCCTGATTGAATAGCGTAAAGATCACACCGCCTCGTCCTTCGCGCAAATAAACAATGTACGTCTTCGAACCCTCGGCAGCAGCTCGTTTGGAAACAGTGTTAGGGTCTCTTCCTATCCTTTGTACGTGGCAAATAGTTAAGCAGCCATGCTACCCTATCCATGGACCGACTGTCCGTTCAGGGCGAATTACTGAGGAGAGCGCACAGTTCAACGAATGCAGGACCTTTTGTAACCGCCATTTTCATAATGGGACTACTCCTGGAGCCCTTCTTTTCGTTAAGCTAATGGTGGGGCCTGATTTTTATTTTCATGTCATCTGCCAGAAGTGCTGGATCTTGAGCGTAGAGTCGACGGTCTCTCTGTGACAAGCTTAGTTTTTAATATTTTTTATCCTGTTTCTTTCCCGCAAAGTGGTACTCATTTGACAATCTCAGAAGGAAGAAAGGCAAATGACCCGACCGTGGCTAGAATCCAAGCCCACTCGATTCTGAGTCTGGCCCTCTACCGGCTGAACAACTGCAATCTAGGAAAATTCTAACACAGTTTTACGTAAAGAAATGACAAATTGAAAATCAGTTAAGGTAATTAGGTAGAGTTGGAAGTCTGTTCTTGGAACCGTGAGGAGACTTTAACCGTTGCAACTGATTATGGGCATCTTGCAATCTTTAAAATGAACTGTGTGTACTTTCTATGATTGTGATTTTCCTGTGTAATTTTGAAGGACCAGCGTTTGCTATGAAAATCGGTGGAAGGTAGCTGAGTGAGTTCCTATTAATTGTGAAGCTCGTCAGTGAATTGCACGTTTGTGTTCACTATGTAGTGTTATTCATAACTTTCTCCTCTGAAATTGTTGGCTACCATATATAAGAAGACATTCTAAAAGTCAAGAGCAGTTCAAAATATCGGTCAGATGTTTTGCTGATTGGTGAGTGATGCAAAAAGAGAGCTTTTTCACTTGACGATTTCCGTTTGCAATGCGACTGTGAAAGCAGGTCTCTTGCTTAACGGATAAAATTTTAAAGTTATGAGGCACAACAGTTCTGCGATGATGGAAGAGAGTGTTGATGAATTTAAATATTACGGCTCCATCTTCTACTGCAGTGGTGCCTTGCAGCCAGAAGGATGATTGCCTTGCTTTTAGCACAGACGAGTAATAGTTTCGTGGAAACAGGTACCATCTCCTTACTCATGCGCTGTGGTTTTAGATTTGGTCCCTATTTCTGTGAACCAATCGTCGCCGGCTTGGAACCGAAGACGTACGAACCGTACATTGCTGGGATGGATTTGATCGGTTGCGTTACCGAACCAGAAGATTTCGTGACAACTGGCACCGGTGCGCTGCAGCTGTACGGTCTTTGCGAAAATGTTTGGCAGAAAAATATGGTTTATTGAAGATCTTATGAATTTTGTTGTTTTTTTACGGTTTTTCTTCTAGGATCAGGACTCACTGTTCGAAGCGACGTCTCAGGCCCTTTT